TTTAATGCAGACATATTATTAAAATTTGGGCTATAACGGTTGTGTTGATGCATAGCAACTTGAAGTGCTCCCAAAATTGGCACTACAGCATGAAAAATATAAAGAGAAGCTCTGGCGGTCTTGGTTCTATGGTCTTAAAGGGTTAAGTAGCTCAGAGACAAACTCGAGACGCCCATGTTTGTACCGACATGTTAAAGGTGTTTACGAATAATAACAATGAATTGTATTTCAACCTTCAGGTGAAACACGAGATAACAGTTGATTTAAATTGTCTTTCAGAGTTTGAAGCCATCTGCTCACTTATTCACTCAATTGAGCAAAGTTCTTAAGCTCAGCAAAGTCCAAGAGGTAAGCCCGCTCTATTAACTTTATTTCTTTCTTTATTTTGAACCATCGGCCCATCAGCGAGCCCATTTTACAAGCACTCTTTAAATGACTGTAACTCCATGACAGTTTTTCCCTTAAACAAAATTCAAACTGTTTTGGAAAGAAGAGAAGACGAGCTTCAAAGCTTTCACATATGCTGATGTCTGAACAGACAGAAGTCAGCTTTGCATTGATTTACTTTACTGTAGCTCCCACCATTCTGGGCTAAACAGAAAATTTAAGTAGTTCCTGAAAGATGAGAATTTTATTTTTTAACTTTTCAGTGAAAAATGACAAATTAAGGGCAAGTGGCCTCTATGACACGAGGTGGTAAAGGATCAAGTGGAAACAATGTAAATGCAATATAGTAGCTTTGGCACTTGTATGAACATAAAGTTAACTTTTGATCTAAATATTCTCTGTATGAAATCAAGGAAACATTCGGCTCTCCTTTTAAGTGTTTTGTTTTTTTACCCCTCAGGTTATATTTGGCCTTGCTCTGCTCAACTCCAGCAACACAGACCTTCGTGGCTTTGGTAAGTTTTTCTAGCACACCGTCATTTATTTAAACCCAGTGAATAAGCAATGTTTTTCTAGCAGTATTTGTCAGTAAAGTGAACAAACTGTTATATTTCCAACAAATCTTGTATTTCTAAAGATGAACTAATACATTTCATGCTTGTTCTTCCTGAATTGTCTTAAAATCTTGGCTGAAATGAGCCTGGTTAGTCTGCTGCTGGTATGCAGTTTGCATTCTTTATGCCAGCGACCGATACCGGTCTGTTAGTCGTTTGGTATCGGGCCGCGAGAGTTGAGCCTCAGGTGTGAAATACACGGTTTTCAGGGTTTTTATCATTAACTCAGTTTCCCTGGGTCATGGATATAACCTCTAACCTCGGCAGCAGGAATTGTCAGACTTGAGAAAACACTGATGTCACAATGTGTCAGAAGTAGTTTGACTTTACAGTGTTGCACTCTGCATTTGAAACAAACTACAAGCAAAGCTTGACTTTAAAATTCTGAAAAGTTAAACTTAATGAAGTCTGTAATTAGTGATGATTTTTCTTGTGCTTAGTACAGAAAATGTAGTTTCAGCTGTAAGCTAAGTCACTGGCCAACGCACAGCTGATAGTGCATTTCACTTGAAACTAAAGTAATTCTTGTCTTTAAAACTTTTGATACAGGTGATTTGTGCTCCCACTAGTCACAGTTGTTCTGTATTACATCCAAGCGCAGTGCTGTTTCTCCCCACTTCACTGCTGGCCTGTCACTAG